AGAATAGTGCAGGACATTCAGTACATGTTGTGTTAAAAGGGAATCCAGGCATAAAGTACGTGCTCCAATGAAGTTATATCAAGTTGGTGCACCAATGGAAAGAGTAGCCGTCGATATTGCTGGTCTTCTGTCCCAAACTCGTGCTGGAAACAAATACATTTGTGTGGTGATGGATTATTTCACCAAGTGGCCTGAGGCATATGCAATACCAAATCAGGAAGCTACAACTGTAGCTTCGGTTATTGGTGATTTCTTCTTCAGATTTGGTATGCCATATGAACTACATTCAGATCAAGGCCGTAACTTTGAATCAGCTGTGTTCCAAGAATGCTGCAAGTTGTTTGGCATCCGAAAGACTAGGACAACGCCACTTCATCTACAGTCTGATGGGATGGTAGAAAAGTACAACTGGACACTGGGACAGGAATTGGCAAAGTTTTGTAATAGCCGCCAAGATGACTGGGATATCTTACTCCCTCCACTGTTGATGGCCTATAGGACAGCAGAGCATGACGCCACTGGATACACTCCAGCAAAATTTATGTTTGGTCGGGAATTTTGGTTGCCAGTGGATCTGTTAACAGGACGCCCACCTTACGAAGAGTTGCCTGAAAATGTGTCAGAGTTCGTGAAAGTGTTATCTGAAAAGATGGATAATATTCACCATCAAATGCGTTCAAACTTGAAAACGTCTCCTGATTCGATGAAGCTATGTTATGATAAGAAGTCTACTGAAGTCAGCTTTGTACCAGGAGACAAGGTATGGTTGTATAATCCCATAAAGACCAAAGGGAAATCTCCTAAATTGTCTTCTCCATATTGGATCGTCTCTCAGACGTGACTTTCGAATAAAATGTGGTCGGCGAGGTAACACGAAAACAATAAACGGTTATCCTTTCTTAACCTCAAAATTATTAGATCGGACACACAGTTTAAAACAAAAATTCACCGCAAAAACACACACACTGGTCTCTACATCCCCTGGAATTCCGCTCATGACACCACACAAAAAATCAGTACACTTAAAAACCTCATAAACACAGCCACAAGTCTCTGTTCAACGGACTACATAAATGAAGAAATTAACCACTTAAAGCATTCATTTATTCACACCAATAAATTCCCATCAGCTATAGTTGAAAAACTCTCCAACAGTCCCCACAATAAAACTCAACTCACGAACAAAAATGACACTAACAAACCCAACAACAGTACATTACATTGCAGTTTACCTTTTGTTCCTGAAACCAGCTCTAGAATTCTCCACACTTGGACAAAACTAGCCATCAAACACAATATTCCTATCAACGTCAAATTCTCACAAAAACCCGGCCCTAAATTAAAATCGTTACTAAACAAAAATTATTTAGAATCACACAATACCAGGTCATTTACAAAATAACATGCAATAACAGCCCAGAATTCTACATCGGAGAAACAGGAAGAAAATTGGAAACCAGATTGACAGAACACAATAAAAACCGTCCCATGTTTTTCACCATTGCAACTCAAAACACCATAGTATATCTATTAAAAACACATTCATTTTAAACAAAGAACCCAACATAAACAAACGAAAAATCAAGGAATTCATCTTAATTGAACAAAACAACCCTACTCTGAACCAACACCCCGGGGTGCCTAGATACTTCTTCTAAGTTTTGCAACAGTTCCAGTCATGTGGTTTCTTTGTTCAATACTGTATATATATATCCGTGTCAGTGTAAATTACTTGTACCTGATGATAACAAAACCTTGTCGAAACGTTGTACATTTGCTGTTATGTTAAACTTATATTAAAGTTTTTCTTCATTTCCCATTCAAGCCGTCTCCAAAGCAAAACTATATTTATACTGTTTTATATTTGAGTATAAGTTACGTTCCTATTTATG